AAACCTAGTCTGACCCTAATATAAGATGACCCTAACTCTAAAGTTAATCAGAAAAATTATTAAGAAATAGGAGTTGTCTCTGTTTCCCAAAATTAGTAATTTGATTGGCTAAATAAGATACTAGTCACACTTTATTATATAGTTCACTTTGTACATCACTTTTTTTTTTTATAAAAATGAATAATCAGTTTAATCTTGGTTTCTGCTATGAAAAAAGAATAGAAACTTCCAAAGGCAAAGAGAAAACTTCTGACGGTGGAAATTCTGTTAGACAAATTAGTAGTAATTCTGGTGGACAAAATGAAAGTGATAAATCCATCAAACATAACAAAGAAGGCAATTCAAATGAACAAAATAAACTTGGCTTCTGCAACCAACAAGGCGTAAACACTGATAAGGATGAAAAGAAAGTGTTGCGTCAAATATATTTTTTAACTCCAAAGTTTAAAAAAAACCTGATTTATAATTCACCAGCAAATAAATATCAAGAGTTTACAAATGCACATATATATAGTATTATAATGAAGATGGGAAACAATACCCCTAATCATGCTAAAGCTTGTAATGAGACAACTCAAGAATGGAATAAAATCAAAACTAAAAATGCACTAGAAATCGACAATATAATTAAAAAATATCTAAACATTTCATTTAATCTATATAATATACAAACAGTAAAATCAAGATATATACCTGAAAAGACCTTAGAACCCTCTCTCCCTACTATCTATTCAGTAGAACCTGTATCTAAAGTCTCTGCAAATACAGCAGCTCAAAAAAAAGCAGTAAATGAAATCACTATAGCAAAAAAAAACTTACAGAATTCGAGCAAATTTACAGTATTTCAACAGATTCTCAGTTTAAACATGATACATATATAAAAATAAGCAACCTTCAGACTCAAATTAGAGCTAATAAAGATAGAATTGCCAAATTAAAAAGAAATACTAAGTATACTCAAAATTGTAGAGAAAAAAAAAAAAAATACTCATCGAAAATCATGAAGTAATAAACTATGATAGTCCAGGTCGTTCACCACTTCTTTTTCAATATCTGATCCTACATAACTATATTCATGAGTCTGTTGAATTTGGATCAGCTGATGACAAACGGTGAAAAGAAGTAGTTAAAGTGCAAATAATAGAAAATTTGTGCAAAAATCTTGAAAACAATTATAGTATCTATATAGCACGAACAACATTAAATAATTACTTATTACCTCGCCAGTCTAATTCTATCACTGCGAAAGCACATCATTACTCAGCATGGGTCTCAGTTGCTGGAGTTTCACGTACTGATATACATGAACACCCTGATGATCATTATTGCCTTGCATCTGTTAAATGCGCAAAACAATTTGCATCTGTTTTTTCTAATATGTCAGTTGTCATCTCTCAAGATAACAAAGCAAAGATAGGTCTCAGAATACCTGCTGTAGATCGAATATTCTATATATTATAATCAATTAATAATCCTATTTGTGTAGCAGATCATGATTTTGTGATAGGATTTAAATAAAAATTAGTTCCTTCAGTATACCTTTTAATGAAACCAGGTGAATCAAATGATAAGCTATGAACAGAGCAACTTGCTATTTTTGTACGTCACTAATAGTCTCTTGGCATATCTTCACTTACACATATCCAATATCTTGACAATCTTACTATAGACTCTCAATATGATAGTATTTTGAAAACTGGTA